TGTAATAAAAAATTGACATTAGACAGTTCTAAGTTATTACCTGATGAACTATTTGAGATGGGGAGACTTCTTTTTTGGACCTTCATTTTGGATTAAATGAGTGGAATTTCATCCAGGTTCACCCAGCCTGRTGCATGTGCAACACTCACCATCATTGGGGGATGCTGGGGATGGGAGGGAAGCTGGACTTCTGCAGTGCAAGAATTAAGATCAAGAATCAATAAATTTGATAGACTCAAACTAAAAAGTTTCTTCTCAGCAAAAGAAACAATCTGTGAGGTGAACAGAAAGCCTACATCCTGGGAGCAAATTTTTACCCCTCACACATCAGATAGAGCACTAATCTCTAGGGTATATAAAGACCTCAAAAAACCAAATAATCCAATAAATTAATGGGCCAAGGACTTGAACAGACACTTCTCAGAAGAGGATATGCAATCAATCAACAAATACATGAAAAAAAATTTTCTAGCAATTAGAGAAATGCAAATCAAAACTACTCTGATATCATCTCACTCCAGTCAGAATGACAGCTATTTTGAAGACAAACAACAATAAGTGTTGGTGAGGATATGGGGGAAAAGGTACAATCATACATTGCTGGTGCCTGAAAATTGGTGGAGCCAATATGGAAAGCAGTATGGAGATTCCTTGGAAATCTGGGAATGGAACCACCATTTGATCCAGCCATCCCTCTCCTTGGACTATAYCCAAAGGACTTAAAAACAGCATAGTACAGGAACACAGCCACATCAATATTTATAGCAGCACAATTTATAATAGCTAAACTGTGGAGTCAACCTAGATGCCCTTCAGTAGATGAATGGATTAAAAAAGTGGCATATATACACAATGGGATAGTACTCAGCAATAAAAGAGAATAAAATCATGGCATTTGCAGGTAAATGGGTGGAGTTGGAGAAGATAATGCTAAGTTAGCTACTCCCAAAAACCCAAATGCAGAATGTTTTCTCTGATATAAGGAGGCTGACTCATAGTTGGTTAGGGAGAGGGAACATGGGAAGAATAGATGTATTCTAGATAGGGAAGAGGGCTGGGATAGAAAGGAAGGGGGCAGGGGATTAGCAAGGATGATGGAAAGTTGTGGACATCATGATCCAAAGTACATGTATGAAGACACAAATTGGGTTTCAACATTACTTTATATACAAACAGAGATATAAAAATTGTGCTCTACATGTGTAGTAAGAATTGTAATGTATTCTGCTGTCATGTATTTAAAAAAATAAAATCATTTTTTTAAAAAAAGAAACAATCTGTGAGGTGAATAAAGTGCCTACATCTTGGGATCAAATCTTTACCCCTTCACATCAGATAGAGCACTAATCTCTAGGGTAAATAAAGAACTCAAAAAGCTAAGCACCAAACAAACAAACAAACAAACAACCTAATCAATAAATGGGCCAAAGACCTGAACAGAGAGTTCTTAGAAAATGATATGCAAACAGTCAACAAATATAAGAAAAAAGTTCATCATCACTAGCAGTTAGAGAAATGCAAATCAAATGCACTCTAAGATTTCATTTCACTCCAGTCAGAATGGCAACTATTATGCTGCATACAAACAACATTAAGTGTTGGTGAGGATGTGGAGAAAAAGATACACTCATACACTGCTGTGGGACTGCAAATTGGTGCGGCCAATATGGAAAGCAATATGGAGATTTCTTGGAAAATTGGGAATGGAACCACCATTTAACCCAGCTATCCCTCTCCTTGGTTTATACCCAAAGGACTTAAAAACATCATACTACAGGGACACAGCCACATCAATGTTTGTAGCAGCACAATTCATAATAGCTAAACTGTGGAGTCAACCTAGATGCCCTTCAGTAGATGAATGGATAAAAAAATGTGGCATATATACACAATGGGATATTACTCAGCAGTAAAAGAGAATAAAATCATGACATTTGCAGGTAAATGAATGGAGTTAGAGAAGATAATGCTAAGTGAAGTTACCCACACCCAAAAAACCAAATGCTGAATGTTTTCTCTGATATAAGGAGGCTGATTCATAGTGGGGTAGGGAGAAGGAGCATGGGAGCAACAGACRAACTCTAGATAGGACAGAGGGTTGGAGGGGAAAGGAGGGGGCATGGGATTATAAATGATGGTGGGATGTGATGATCATTACTATGMAAAGTACATGTATGAAGACACGAATTGGTGTGAATATACTTTGTATAGAACCAGAGATATGAAAAATTTTGCTCTATATGTGTAATAAGAATTGTAATATATTCTGCTGTCTAATATAAATATAAATAAAAGTAAATAAATAATTTAAAAATTCTTTACTATTTTCCATTTCTGTTTTGAGAATTTTCAAGTCTCTCCAAATCTCTGACTGTCCAATATTTTGTCTTAGTGCATTCCCTCTGTTACCCATCTCTTTGATCAATTGTTTTCTTACTACTCATTTCTGGACTGTGAAGCAGTTTAGATTTGCTGCCTAGATCCATACTGCTTTCTTCCTGTCATCTTTAAGACAAGATGTTTTGAAACATGAATACACTGTGGGATGGCTAAATCAAGCTAATAACATATGTAATTGCTTCACATATTGTGTGTGTGTGTGTGTGTGTGTGTGTGTTGAGAGCCTTAAAATCTACTTGTAGCAATTTTCAAGTATACATACATTGTATTAACTATAGTCACCATGATATTCAACAGATCTCTAACTTATTCTTTCTAACTGAAATTTTGTGTTCTTTGGTTAACATTTCCCCAATTATTCTGTACCACTCCCCCTCAGTTTCTGGTAACCACCCTTCTACTCTTTGCTTCTATTACGATTGAATTTTAGATTTCATATGTAAGTGAGGTAATACAATATTTGTCTGTCTGTGCCTGGCTTATTTTACTTAACATAATGCCCTTTGTGTTATCCATGTCATTACAAACGTTATGTCTTTCTTTCTTAAGGTTGATTAGTATTCCAATTTATACTACCTGTTTTCAATACTTATTATAATACCATAATAATTAAGATGAATGGTATTGAAGTAAGAATACTCACAAAGAGAAAAGAAACAAAATAGAGATAAGCAATAGGCTCATATATATGTGGGCAAATCATTTTTGATATGGTGACTTAATGTGGAAAACAGTGTTTTTTTTCTTTTTTTTATTGGTTGTTCAAAACATTACAAAGCTCTTGACATATCATATTTCATACATTAGATTCAAGTGGGTTATGAACTCCCATTTTTACCCCAAATACAGATTGCAGAATCACATCGGTTACACATCCACATTTTTACATCATGTCCTATTAGTAACTGTTGTATTCTGCTACCTTTCCTATCCTCTACTATCCTCCCTCCCCTCCCCTCCCATCTTCTCTCTCTACCCCATCTACTGTAATTCATTTCTCTCCTTGTTTATTTTCCCATTCCCCTCACAACCTCTTATATGTAATTTTGTATAACAATGAGGGTCTCTCTCCATTTCCATGCAATTTCCCTTTTCTCTCCCTTTCCCTCCCACCTCATGTCTCTGTTTAATGTTAATCTTTTCTTCCTGCTCTTCCTCCCTGCTCTGTTCTTAGTTGCTCTCATTATATCAAAGAAGACATTTGGTATTTGTTTTTTAGGGATTGGCTAGCTTCACTAAGCATAATCTGCTCTAGTGCCATCCATTTCCCTGCAAATTCCATGATTTTGTCATTTTTTAGTGTTGCATAATATTCCATGGTGTATAAATGCCACATTTTTTTAAAAGACATTTCACTGTGAAGGGGAAGAGTAGCTCGAGGGAAATGTGATGTGATGGAGGGATTTAATTTTTATATAGGAAAGACTTGATTATGTTTGAGAGTCAGTTGTAAAAATCTAGTTAAGGAGTGTTTGAAAATACTTGAGAGAGAAGAAATGATAGATAATTTATACTACTTTAAAACCCGGGCAAACATAATTTAAAGTACTGTAGAATATTGACATTAGGTAGGAGTGAGGAACCCCTTGTAATATAACTAGAGATAAAAGAGAGGATGGATGCATAAGTAGGTAGGCTTGAGCCTTAATATCAGGATGATGAAGCTTCAATTTTCTCTTGTTCATACTCTTTGCTGCTCAAAGTGAAAAAGGAATTAAGGAAGGTAGAGATATCAGATTGAAGATGGTTTAGAAATGCTCATTTCAGAAAGTGGTAGAGAATTGTAACAGAGGGCCAGGGTGGGGCTCAGTGGTAGAGCACTTGCCTATTATGTTTGAGGCACTGAGTTCAATCCTTAGCRTCACATAAAAATAGAAACAAAATAAAAGTATTGTGTCCATCTACAACTAAAAATTTAAAAATAAGAAAAAAAGAAACGTAACAGAAGTGACTAGGGAGGTTAATGATGAATAAAATTAATGCTCATGTCTTCAGTTATGTGATTTTTCTCAAGCAGTAGCAAGTTTCTCATAGGGACTGAAAGGTGCACAGGGAATGGAAGGAAAAGTTCACCCAGAGTTAGGATTGTAAGCTACGTGCAACAAAAGTTATCCATAAAATGAGAAAGAATGAATAGAGTGAGCTTAGATGGTATGCTTGAACAAGTTCCTAGAAAGAATTTAAAAGCTAAAGAAAGTATCTTAAAATCTAATTTGAATATAAATATTCTCTCTGTAAAGTAAATGGAAAATATAGAAATATAGAAAATATGGAAAGTATCAAGAATAATATAAAGTTTTTTAGTGTTCTAAAGTTTTACTATTTATTGAATGGTAATCTGTATTTTAATATTTTTTGCATGATTCCTTCTATATTTTTTCTTTCTTATTAATACTTGTGTATTTTGGATTAGAATTATGATCTGATAATTTTAATCACATTTTGAAACTTCATACATTAGAAGCATTTTATAAATCATTGGATTTTATTTTACAATATAATTTTAATAGCTTTATAGTATAGAAAGAACTATAAATGTATATTCAATTTAACCAGAGATTACTGTAATACATTATTTATTGATTTTTTTTCCTGTATAGGTTTTAGATACTTGCACAATGAGACTGAATCTAGACTCACCAGCAAGATATCTTTATGATATGTATGGCAGAAAAATTGAAGATTTTTCCAAAGGTAAGATTTTAGTAAAYTATATGATAATATTTTGAAAGGTATTTATACAATTTTGGTTTTACTTTAAACAATTAAAAGTAAAACAGATATAATAAAACTGTTTGACATGGACAAATATAGTATTCTTATATATAGGGAACTAAGATTTTAAGAACCTTTTATCTTGGCACAAATTTGAATTTTTTAAAAAAATGTTCATTAGAATTTTAACCTTACTAAGTCACAACTAAGAAAAAAAAATAATTGTTACATTTTCATAATATGACAGCCAAATTATATGAGATACAGATTTCTAAAGAGAAATTGTACTATAATATGCTTATATTAAGATTTTTAAAATGTTTTGGTCAACTTTCTAGAGGTTGTTTAAAGGTTATGTAATGTGCTTTAAAACACTTTCATTGTATGTCTTTGCCAGGAGGTGACATTTACTTATGGTATCTCTAAAGAAACTGATCTTGCTCCCTAAAACCAAAAATACCATGAATTCCACATTTGTGAGTTTATATGTGCTATTAGGATAGTCCCATAACTTCCCCTAAACTTTAAATCCRTGCCTGAGGAGGGTTGAAATATTAAATAACACGTCTTCAACTGCAAGGTTAGGTCCAGTCAACTATGATGATTTGGGGATGTGCCAATATCACATACCTTCATTTATTTCCAGTTTTTTCTCTTGTGCTATATAAAAGCAAGGCTATGCCCTTGATTTGTCACCCTTAATTAATACTTATTGAATGATAACTGTGACATTTTGATAATTATTGTTTATAACTTCCATTTTCTGGGGTAAAGGATCATGTATGTGTGTGTGTGCGCGCTTAGAAAGTAGAKAYATTTTTTAGTTATTTAAAAATGTTTTATTAGTGCATTATAGATAAATGTAATGTTGAGGTTCATTTTGATAGAATCATGAGTGCAGGGAATATAATTTTTTTCAATTTCAGTCCCCAGTACTTCCTTTTCTGCTCTCCTCCTCCTGTTCCCCTTCCTCTAGCCTGCTGGTCTTCCTTCTATTTATTTATTATTTTTTAAATTAATGCTTTGTAGATATAAATAAAAGGTGAAATTCATAGTGGTATATTAATATATGTACATCTTTTCTTATATATCATAATTAGTTTCATTTTATTAAAAATTTTTATCTGAAGATGTTAGATAAAGGAATCCTTCCTTATGTTCATGTTTTTGGAGTGGTAAGAATATTACCAAAATTGATTTTTTAATTCCTTCATGTTTCTTCTTCCATCGTTCTGGCTAACTTTTTTGTAAGATTAATAATATTTACTCCTATACTTACATTGATAAAAATTAACCAATACATTTTCTTAAAACCCTATCTGGTTTTAAATTATTTCCAGAATACCTGGAATTTAAAAATTGTATTTGAATAACTGCTAGAATTTAACTATATAATCTTGGTTAAGATTAAAGATTTATATYTATAAAGCTGGCTTTCCCCCTTCCAAATGGTATCACAGAATTACTTATCAAAACAGAAAAGCACCAATTATGAGGCATGATACTTCATAGGTGCCAGAGGCATTCAGATTCATGTCTCATGCTTCACATATCCCAGAAGTGTGCTATTATCACATTTTAATGCATGCCTTGCCCTGTGTTTTTGCATACTTATAAAAGCTTATGCCAGTTGAAATTAGCCTATGCAGTTACTAACACGTGGAAGTATTACAAGTTCACTGGACTTAAAATACTTAAAGAAGCTAATCCTATTGGAGGAACTTCCAGTCTGTACCACGCTCGTCACTTAATATTAGGTTTTTAAATTTCTTTTTGTTTTGTTTGTTATTATGATTTTTGCAACAAATTATTGGAGTCTGTAAACTTTTATGGTCTTCTGAACTTAACTTAGGAAAGGTAAAATGTTAGATGAGTTATCTTTTAAATTAATTAATTAAATAAATAAATACTGATTTTTTAAATTTAATATATAATTTGGGTTTTTTGCTTGCCTCATATCAAACTGAAAAAAGTCACTTAATAATGTCAAACCAATTATTTTAAATTTGTGAGCACAAATTAGAAGTATAATTGTACTAAGAACTAACAGCAACAGATATAAAAAATAAAAGTAAATTTTTTTCTTCTGTTACTTCTTTTTGGGAATTAGGTACACTTACAATTTTTCCTCCTATGCTATGAGAAATGAGCACATTTTTTTCCTCAATATTAAATTTCTTTTACTTTTTCAAGTCTAGTAAAACCTTAAAATAATGCACAGGATTTGCAAATTGCTTATGTATTTAGATTTCCAAACCATACATGATTTTAGCAAAGCAATTTATATTGTAACATGTGAGAAAGTTCTTTTGTCAGGATTCCTGTATAGATCTGTCCTTTCAAGTATAGAAAGGACTCAGCTATTGTGTAGATATCAGATTCCTATAGCCAACATGCTAGTACATAATGTGTGTGCTAATAATGTATCCTCAAAGTCACACCCCCACCACCCCCACCAAATGACAGAGGTATGRGAGAAATGGGGCTGGGAAGACTATTCAAATTCTATGCACCTTTAAAACCAGAACAGTAACTAAAAGAATAATTATTAAYGTAAGAGATAATGTAAACAGCCTGGGCAGGCATCTCAGAATGCTGCTTCAGAGGAAATTAGTGCTGCACAAAAACAGTGCAGAGTGAGACAATGCAGATGAAAGTGAAATGGAGGTCGGAGCCAGTGGGGCTTCTTTGAAGAAAGGCACAGAAGGAAGTGAAACTCCCACAGATAGTCATGTAAGGCCAGGGGTGGATCCCTCTGAACTGGGAACTCCAGTGCAGCCATCAAGCTAAGGGCTTTTTTTTTTTCTTTTCTGCTAAAAAATAAAAAATATACTGCTACTCTTTTTAGCTTTGTTTGCTTAGAAAAAAAAAACACATATATTTGCCAAACTTCCATATCATTCTGCCATCATTCTCCTGTTTACTAATCATACAAAGCTATTTGATGTTATAGAAGAATTTAATAGTGGCAACTAATGTAGAGAGTGTTGCATTTTTGCAGGAGTTGTTTAATAACACTCCTATTCTTCCTAATATTTCCCAACTTGATCTCTTAACTTCCTTGGCTATTTTATTGGGGAGAACCAGTTGAGTCACTCKTACTCTTGGGGTCTCTTAGGACCCTTATGAGTCTTCCATTCCAATAATCCTGCTCTTTTGTGGATCCTTCTAGATCATAGAAGGTAGTGTAAAGTTTACCCCAGTGATTCTGAAATGAGTTAGAATAGTACATTAATTAAATCAGCTCCAAGACCATTATTTGTTGCCCTGAATGTTCACTTTCCATTTAATTTTCCACTCCAAATTATGTCTAACAACTCTATCTAAAAATAGCTTTATGTTTTCTGATAAGTTCTTTAGAGATTCTGCAATAAAATTAAATTACAGGAGTAGCATGTTTCATTTATAACATTCCAATAAAATAGTGATAACCTGAATTTAAATGTTAACTCATGCCCATTATCAACTTTTGTAGAGAAATTAAAATTCAAAGGTTAAAATCCCAAGGAAATTAAAATCTGAAGTATTTAAGTATTTCCACAGTATTTATAAAGTATTTATATAGAAGTAAATCCAATATCCCATAATCTTACCTTTATGAGTTAAAATCTAATAAAAGTTCAAACACCTCAAGTTAAAGTGCAAAGAATTTGAAGTCCTTCTTAATGTTTATTTTTCTCAGTGTCAGCCAGATGGCTTCTGGATGCTTGATTTGAGCTGGAATTCCTCCAGCTGTGGCTGTCTGGTCTCCTGGAGTGGGTGTCATCTCACAGGACCTCAAAAGTTGAATTAGGTCTACACAACTTTTKCATGGGCCTTATGTCCAAACAAATAAACAATTATTGCAACATCAACACCACACACAGAACATTCAGACAGAAGTGAATAGAARCAAATGTGGCCATTTCACACAAAATAATGTTTCCATGACCTACGTTTGGCAAAATCCAGATCCAAATAACATAGCACAAACTATGAGAAGGAGGGTAGAAAAGAGAAAACATACTTCTTGTCAGTATTTCCAAGATGTCATCCAGTCTGTGCTGTTGATCAAAGTCTATGACCTCTGGCATAAGTTGTTGGAAGGCAATCTCTAATGCATTAATTATGGCAGCATGTATTTACAATATCTTGAGGCAAAAATTGACCAGTTCACATTATCTTGTCTCAAAGAGGCTGCATTAAATGTTGGCTAAGTGCTCTGATTTTGGAATCAGAGTTCAAATTTCAGTTATGCCACTTGTTATGATGACTTAGGATAGGTTATTTAGCTTCTTTGAGAATCAGTTTCCTTATCTATAAAACAAGGATTATATTATTTACCTTTATATGTTGTTGCAAGGATTAAGTGAATTACATGTAAAGTCTTTAAAACCAGTGTCTGACATTTGATAAGCATTATATAAAATTAGCTATGTTATTCTCACTGAGAGGACTGAGAATGTTTTTAATTTTTTTTTTTTTTTGCTATTTTTTTTTTTTGCAGAGTGTTTTGTTCTTGCAATATTTGGAAGTTTGTTAGAATGGAACCACCTTTGACCCATGCTATTTCTCAGTTTATACCCAAAGACTTAAAATCAGCACACCACAGTGACACAGCCATATTAATGTTTATAGCAGCTCAATTCACACTAGCTAAATTATGGAATCAGCCTAGGTGCCCTTCAAAAGATGAATGGATAAAGAAAATGTAGTGTATATACACAYTGGAATTATTACTCAGCCATAAAGAAGAATGAACTATGGCATTTACCAGTTAATGGATGAAACTGGAGAGTAAAGTGATATAAGCTGATTCCAAAAAACCAAAGGYCGAATGTTTTCTTTGATATGTTGATGCTAATTCACAATAAGGGGGTGGGTAGGGAAGAATAGAAGTAGTTTGGATTAGAGGAGAGGGAAGGAAGTAGTTTGGATTAGAAGAAAGGGAAGGAAGGGGGAGGGTGGGAAATGGGAATAAGAAAGATAGTAGAATGAATCAGACGTTACTTTCTTTTATGCCTATGTGAATACACAACCAATATATTTCTACATCATGTATAACCAGAAGAAGTTATACTCCATATATGTATAATATGTCAAAATACATTCTACTGTCATGAATAACTAATAAGAACAAATTTAAAAAATGGAAGTTTACATTGGTAGCTCTAGTCATAAAGACTTATGTGAAGCATGGTTCTTTCCCTTTGTAAAGTATCCCAGGTGTCTTAATGTTCTTTTCCTTCTCAGTCACAGCTTCTAGACCCCATGCTGAATTAAGGGTGGTTTCCTGTCTGGTAGCATAGCATCCACCTCTTTTTAAGGGTGTCATTTTCAACTGTAGGTCTTCATGGCTACTATCAAGGCCTCTCCCTATGGAATTGTTTAAGCCCAAGAAACTTACTTCATAGGCACAGCTTCCCTCTCATTTCCACTTGGAGAATATTTTTTTGTAGCTTTTGAACTGAAGCAGCTATTTATGTTTGAGRCTCATGTTCTTAGGGCCTCTGTGAGGACCACCATCACTGCTGTTTCCTCGTGAAGACATGGTCTTTACCTAGCATTTGAATGCTTCTGCTCTTTAGTTAACATTTGTCTGATACCTCTTTTTCTTCAATATTTTGGGTTATCTTTTTGATAAAGCTGTTCCTTTCAGAAAAGTTAACTTCTRCAATAAGCTTACAGGTAGCACTATTTGCTGCATTTGAGTACTTATTTCTTTTTCTTTCTTTTCTTTTCTTTTTTTTTTTTTTTACTTTGCTTTCTGGTCTGTATTCTTGTATTTTTCTAATATTTTTCTTGCAGAGTATCTTATAGTGAGATACAGGAAGTCCATGAGTTCTCAGTTTGTCTATAACATCTTTTGTTTAAGTCAATCTTGTTCATTTTTAATCCCTGAGTTAAATAATCCTACCAAGAATATATTCTCCTACAATCTAACATCTAATTTAGATTTTAGATCCTTGATTTGTTATTATTCTGTTCAGTTCCCTGTAATGTAATTCCCTTAAACTAAAGGCCATTAATTTTTAGATTTCATCCAATAATTTTTTTTTAGTATTTTATACTAATCTTCCTCTTTAATTTGTCCAGTTTTGGTGTGCACTATTTATCCTGTTCTCCAAAGAGATTCCCTAGTTGGCCTTACTATAAATTTACCCATAGCATAAATACTACCTCTTTGTAATGTTCAGGAGTCCAGCTTCTCTGGAGGATTGTTCTAAGTCTGTTCTTCTAGATCTTATTTTTATTTCTCTGTTAAATATCACTGAGCCCCAGTTACCATTTTGATTTTATAACAAGTTATTTCCCTGTTTATAATAACCTCTTTAAGAGTAGCTACACTTGAATGTGTTTCCTGTGCTTGGCCTTTGGGATCTTTTTCTCTTTTCATGTCTGTCAAACGTGTGCTTGGATCAAATGTTTACCATTATTCTAAGGTGATCTCTTTTCTCCTCCAGTTGTGTCTGTCTGTTTTATTTCACTTTCATACACTGTTCTGTCCATAATAATGAAACATATTTTTAAACTACTTTGCTTTCTTCTTGATTCCTTTAGCAAATCTGAGTCCTAGATTTTAATGCCTTGAGTAATTTCCCTATTTTAACTTAAATTGTTATCTCATAGACTCAGCTGCCATAAGAGTTTCAAGTACTGGCCTACAGATTTGCTTTTAAAACAGAAAAGCAGCACTTATTTTTCCCCTTTCCAGTGCCTAAAATGATCTGACTCCGTTCTTAGACTTCTCTGAAGTTTTAGGTGAAGTTCACTGTTGATAAAAGAGAAAGCAGCAGCAGCCTGCCCAGGAAGGCAGGCATGGCCTGCTAGGAGTACTAAGCCCTCCACAGCCATGTCCAATCCTAGACTGTCATTTTCTGAAGGCCATGACAATTAGGAAATAATCCCTGCTACATTTAGGTTTGTGAACCATC